AATTGCAAAGGCTAAGGATTGAGTGCCACATCGAAAATACATGCAGTTACTCTAAGAGGATCAACAGACCCTCTTTTACTTCCTTACCTTATCTTTAGGAAACAAAGCCTTTCATTCAAAACCAACCATCTTGGGGGGGGGGGCATTAGACCAAGAAGATAAAACAAATAAATAACCAGAACAATTAGAATCCAGTGATGGAAATTTGTAATCCCAGCCCTGGGGAGGCTGGTGCAGGCAGTGTTTCCAGCTACACAGTGGGCTACACAGTGAGTTACAAGGGAGCTTGTGATGCATAGCAAGAACTTATGCCCCCAACCAATGCCCCCCTCCCCCCCACACCATAAACATTTAAAGGCTCACACTTTTAGTTAAGTAATCAAAGAATGGAGTCACAGATTCGGCTGAGACATCTGGTCATGTTTTGACTCTGTTACTTTTTCTCTATATTCCCATCCAGCAAATTCAAGAGATTTGGAACACTTGATGCATGGCGTAGTCGACCGTGTCATGGTTCTGATGTTTTAGGCTTGCGTCCTTTCTTTTGTAATTTAAGTGATTTTTTGGTAACCTGGTGATTTCATACACCTATTTGGCAGTCATTTTGGAGACTACATTTGTTGTTCGCTTTGAGAAAAGCAGCCTCATTTCTCTGCAGAAATTCTGGTGGGTGGCTTGGTAATTTGACAAGAGATAATAAGATGGCACCACAGAAGAGAGCCTGGTGTGATGGAAAGGCTTGCTTTAAATTTCGTTGCTGCTCACTGTGGTTTCTCACGGAAATACATATGAATAACTTCTAAAACACCTATTATAGGAAAAAGCAGGCACCTGGAACTTGACTGTAAGTGTCCTGGAATACCTGCCTGAAGTGGTTTGCTAAGTCCCTGGACAGCTCACAGAGTCAGTTTGGGAAAGAAAAATCCACCGTGACAAGAAGGTCCCTGAGACCTCTTGCTAGAGCTGCCTCCTGAGATAGGACTCCTGAGATAGGACTACACTGTGGGCCTTGGGTCTGCTATCGCCAATTCTCCAGCCTCATCCCCACCCCCTCACCCAAAGAAATCTTTCTAGAACCCCAGTCCATCAGATTTCTTCAGCATTTCCCTTGATGACCAACATAATAGTACTTCAGCTAAGTCTGAGAACTTGTGGGGAAAAAAAATTAAAATTTGCTTAAAAAAAAAATCCAAGCAAACTCTGGTTCCTGGAACTGGCCACCCAGAACTGAATAGAGTGTAGTGCATCTAGGCACTAATGCGTATTACTTAAATGAAGTGTGTCCCGTAGACGTCTTCTCGGAGGCGTTTTCCTTTTGAGGATATCCAGTAATTGCTGTTGAGGCCAATAATGGCCTTTTAGGACAGGATTCAAATGCCCCAGTGTGTTATCACATTCTCTCATGGGATTCCCGTCCCCAGGGGCAAGCTGCGTGGGACAAGGCTAGGCACACACCCTCCCTCCTCTTTCCCTCCCCCTTTATCCTTCTCATCTTTCCCTCTCCTTTTCCATGGTTTCATTATACATCTCAGGCTAGTGTGGAACTCATAATTCTCCAGCCTCAGTGACCCAGGGCTGGAATGACGGGTGGTGTTAGTAGGATCAGCTTGCTTTTAAGTTGGCCTCTGCCTACGATAGGCCCTCTCTCTCACTCACCCATCTTGATCAAGGCCCTGTGAACTCAGACTTTGCTGAAGGCTGCCTACCCAGAAGTGATTAAAAACCAAGTTGGCGTACTAGAGAGATGGCTCAGCAGGTCAGAGTGCTTACTGCTCAGGTTTGATTCCTGGCACTCACATGGTAGCTCAAAACCATCCGTAACTCCAGGGGATCGGGTATCTCTTCTGACCTTTTGTGCTACTGCACAAATGTGGTGCACATACACACACCAAGGGAGAAACACACACACACACACACACACACAGTAAAATAAGTAAAATATGAAGGGGGAAAAAAAATCAACCTTAACTGGACATCACCATTCCTTCTACAGGAATTTTATTACCAGTAAATCTCTTCACAGATTTGAGTGGCTTAAACAGGAATGCCTGTTTCATGTCTGTTGGGAAGGTCGGGAGTCACAGCGAGCTCTGTGTGTCTACAGGCCGTGTATTTTCTGTGACTCACTCACACGCTGCCAGCAGGGTTCAGTTTCCCTAGCTGCTGGACTGAGGCCTGGACTCCTCGTGACCTGTCATCTGGGGCCTCCTGGTTCCTTACATGTACTGCCTGACAACTTGCTTCACTAGAGCAAGTGCTGGCGCCCCCGTGTAGTGAGGTGAGGAGAGGTGGACTTCTTGAGTATGGGGAGCAGCTTGCCTTCAAGGCTGCTATGTTCTGCTCAGGAGGGGGGCACTGCGCACAGACCACACTCAAGTGAGGACTATCTGGCGGATCTAAGATCACAGCCTGGAGAACATTTTGGGCTGCCCAAATAGGCAGCAGAGGTTGGATACCCTCTTCTTGTCCTCTCAGGCTCACTTCCCTGGTACAAGCATCTTGATGCAATAATGGTGATGCTAGGGTTTAAAGAGAGGCACATTTTAAATAATGTGGCTCCTAAATACCATCTGAAAGTCAACTCCCTCGTCTGATCTTCAACTGAAGAAAAAAAAGGACCAATTTAGAATACCAAAAGGACTCTGTCGGACTTACTAAGTGAAGGTGGTAGAGTATGTGCCGAAGGGGTTGGCGAATGTGATTTTTGAGCATGTGCAATTCTGGGTTCACGCCCTGAATTCAGGTTCTGATCTGCAGGAAGACGAGAGATTCTTGTCTCGGAAGGAGGTCCTGGCAGGCCTCTGCTGTTCTTCATTTGTTTGCCTGAGCAGAGCCTCTTGACAGCTGGCCCATGCCCCATTCATATCCAGTGTCTGTACTTGGACCCTCAATACTTTTTAAAATATGCACTGACAGCCAGAATAAATTAATCATGAGTAATGTTTTAATAATTTAGGGTATTGCAGAACTTCTTCTGACATATATGCTTAAAATGAGTGATGTGGGTCCATTTTACTTGTAATTTCTGTTGTTATTACTAGGCTGGACGTTGATATTGAATCAAAAGTTACTTCTTTTTTCGTTTTCTTTTTTCTTTCTTTTTTTTTTTTTGAGACAGGATTTCCTCATGTAGCCTTGGATACCCTTGAACTAACTCTGTAGAACAGGCTGGTGTCAAATTTACAGAGATCCTCCTGCCTCTGCTTCCTGAGTGCTGGGATTAAAGGCATGCACCACCACAGTTTGGCGAAAAAAAATCTCTACTTTTCAATCTTCACTGCTTCCAAATATTTTGTGTTTTTAAGTCACGGGAATTGTTCTGGTTTTATGATGGCATTTCCATTGAATTTTTAAACTGTTAAAAGTCATAAAAGCAACCGTTTGACACTAAATGGTTCTGGACCAGATATATGCACTTCCTCCCATTCTAGCAGCAAGGTTCCAAATTACTTCTGCCTCATATTATGACTGCAGTTAAATTCCATGACATTACCTATTGCCTAAGGGGTAACCAGCCCTCAGGCCTTCCCAGTGGTGTCCATGGCTGTACACCACAGTATCTGTGAATTTTAATAACTCACTTGGTGTGTGATACTAACTTGGAGCATTGCTTGCCATCTGCAGTCTTAAAAATGCCGGGGTGTCTCTGCAAGACAAGAAAAAAAATCAGAAGTAGATTTTCACCCTATGAGATTTGTAGTACTCTTCAGTTAAAGGGGATAGGTTAGCTTCTAGAATGTGCCTATATCTGTTCTGCCTCATCCTAGCAAGAATATTATCTTTAAAATTTTTTTCGTGTGTGTGTGTGTGTGTGTGTGTGTGTGTGTGTGTGTGCGTGTGTGTGTGTGTGCGCATGTGTACATTTGCAAGTGAGCGCAGGTTCCTGCAGAGGCCAGAAGAGGACATTATATTCCAAGGAGTTGGAGTTACAGGCAATTGTAAACCACCTGATTTGGGTGTTGGAAACTGAATTCAAGTCTTCTGTAAAAGTAGCAAGTGCTTCTAACTACTGAGCCATCTTTCCAGACCTGAGAGTGTTTCCTTTTTCCACGGATCTTTTGCACTGGTTCATTTGTCCTAATTTGTATTTCTTTTTAATCATGAAATTGTATCATCAGAAAATACTTTAAATTGCACTGTAAATACAACAGTAGAAGTTCTTTGATTTTTCACTCTTTATGTTTATGTGTGTGAGTGTTCATGTGTGCAGAGTCAGGGGACAATCTTGTTTGAGGCAGGATGGCTTCTGTTGCTTACCACTGCACACAGCAGCTATTTCATTCATGAGTCTCTAGGAATTCTCCTGTTTCTGTCAGAGTGCTGGGATTACAGATCTGTGCCACTTTGTTCATAGTTTTGTGCGTTGTGGTGACTGAACTCAGATCCCCATGCTTGCACCCTTGTGTGAGAAGTCCTTTACCCCGTGAAGCACTTCCCCATATTCCCATCATTTTTTATCACGTGGAAGCCCCCACCTGCGGGTGTCCCTTGTTCCATACCCTCTCTATGGCTGCCTCACTGTATCCACTGGATAACCCCCCAGGCTCACTTGCAAGTAGGAGCCAGCACACAGAAGGAGTCAGGTTAGTTTTGCTGGTGAATGCATTGCAATAGCACGGAGTGCAGGGATGGAGCAGTTTGCATGCTGAGGGCTGAGTGACAACACCCATTTCCATGTGGGAAAAGATGGTGCCCCCCTCCCCCGTTTGACCCCCTAAATACTCCAGAGAACCTTGCTGCCATGAAACTGTACCGTAATGTTTTCTAGGTGTGATTCATTCACAGTTTAATATGCTGCTAGTTCTGGCTTGGCTTTTCCCTCAGGAAGAGCCTAAAATCTCTTCATTATAATATAGACAGTGTACTACACTTTGAATACAAATTTATCCATGTTCAGACTAATTTTTCCAGTGATTGTCTCTACCCTGGAGAAGTGCCTTTAATGAATTACATACAAATTGTGTAATTTAAGAAGTTAATTTGGTTTTCTGGTTACACAGGACTAAAAACAGCCCTTGTAGAGAGAGATGACTTCTCATCGGGGACCAGCAGCAGAAGTACTAAATTGATCCATGGTGGCGTGCGATACCTCCAGAAGGCTATCATGAAGTTGGATGTTGAGCAGGTAATTGTGTATGCTGGCTGTTAAACAAAAATTGCCACTATGCTTTCTCTACCCAATTAAATCAGGCCTTTTTTTTTTTTTTTTTTTTAATGGCTTTAAACATTTCTTCCTGTTCAGAATTCCTGTTTAGTGTATGCTGCCGGGGTATCTTTCATGAGAGGTGGGCCAGTTCGTTCTGTATCGTATCATGTTTATGGGTAATCGGGCTTTTTCTGTACAAGCATGTCAAAGTAGCAGATTTACAGAATCACTTTTGGAAGTGTTGCCTTTTAACAATCGTGATTGGGTTTTTGCCAGTGGCCACCAAATTGCTACTTCTGGGCAGTTTCAGGGGTGCTGTTCTGTAATGCAGACCGAGTGGCAAATTGGTCTCTCAGCTGCAACTGCGATCATGCACTCATATTGTCGCTGACATATTCTTCAGGAGAAAAAAAAAATGATCTGAGTCACACTTTCCGTGTGTCGCACTTTATTGTGTCCAGTCTGCCATCATTTGAAAACTGCCAAGGCCGTGTGGAAAATGACATTTCCCAGAGGGGTGAGAAAAAAATCAGCTTCCCTCCATATCTGCTTTTCTTACGAGGAAAAACACAGTAGCAAGGACTTGCCATTGTCAAGTTTTGAGCCTGGCCCCCTTTCTCGCCTTGACAAGTCAGCTTTGAATCTGTCCCCCTTTTCCTATGTCTCTCTTCAGCACCTGTGATGGATGCAAAGAAAGCAGCGTGGGCTTCGTGATCCACTGATTTCAGATGTGTTCTGGCTGATTTTGTAATATCTGCAGCCTTATTGTCACGTGTCAAATTCGTATTATAATAATAATGCCCGCTCTTTAGGCAAGTAGAATGGGGGCCCCAGGAGTCGAGACAAAGCCCTCTTTACCATCTGTAAAATAGCTGTTCAGGGCTACAGATCATCTTTGCGAGGTTTAGGGAAGGCAAGAGAACTTTCCATGAATTTGAGCAATCTGTTATCTCTTACCTGGAGAAAACATCCCGGGGAACTGAGAAAGGGGACAATCCAGAGAAAGCAAGATAAATGGTTACAATAATCTTGTAACTCAAGTCAGGAAACTATCGTACGCCTGGGAACTCTGACAGCATGTTTTTCTCCTATGCAAATACAGTTAAGGTTTCTAAAAAATCTTTGAGGTTGACAGCATGATGTATTATTAGAGATTTGATTAGGAGGGAGCGCTCCTCGCTTGGAGGTGGAAGGTTTCTGTATATCAATCAGTTGGCAGGGTGTCTATTTGCCATTTGAAAATATTATGATCTGTTACTGCCAAACTCATTTTCTCTGTTTTGATTTTCAGTATAGGATGGTGAAAGAAGCCCTCCACGAGCGTGCCAACTTACTAGAAATCGCTCCCCACTTATCATCTCCGTTGCCTATAATGCTTCCAATTTACAAGTAAGCCTTTGCTATAACCTGTAGGCTATGTGCTTGTCTGAGGTCAGCAGAGCAATGTGGATCTCGTGGAAACAATACTTCTGTGTGTATTTCTTAATGTGGTTTTAATGGCCCTAACCTTTAATGCATTTCAAATACTTTCTTTGGTGTATTTAAAAATATAGGTTTTCTTAAATCCTCTCTGTGGACGTATGTCTAAGGGCCAGATTTTGAAGTCAAAGAGGTTGAGTTCCCTGTTTATAATTAATGGAATCTTATTCCAGGTTTTTGGAGTACATAGGTGAACAGTTGTGTTTACTAAGGCATTTGAATGAGGTCGTATGTGCAGCGTAAAATGTGATTCCCTGGCCACGCCCCAAATTATCCTGACGCAAAATCAGAAGCTACTGTGTAGCAACTCAAAACCCAGCTAGCTATACTGGGCATTTTTATTATCCAAGTTCACATAGATGAAATTCATCTGCAAGGTGTGACTACACGCGATCAAACTCATTCCCCTAATGGTAGAACTGGGTGTGACGTTGTCCTACGTGGGAGACAGGCCCAGTAACACATAAAGGTGGATTATGTAATTCTTTAAGCCACACGGGTGGTGTAGGGCTGGAAACAGACTTAGTCATCCAGCCCGTGTTTAGTTATAGATTGCTGAGGGCCTCTTCAACCTGAGTGTGGTTTACATTACCAAGGCCTCCAACCTACATTGGTTGGATCCATCTTTAGACCTGAGACCCAGGCATGGGTGTTTATCTTGAATGCACCTGAAGAATTCTAAGATGCAGCAGGCACCAGGCATGGAGTTGGTCATAAACTCTCATTGGTTCTCCCCTGCATGGCAGCTGAGCCAGTGTCGGAAGCAGCTGTACAGACTCGGGTTTTTTTTTTTTTTAATTTTATTTTTCCTTTCACACCAGTACTTCTAGGTTTACCTTTGCTTTCCCTAAATGGCTTTCTTTGTAATTTAAGGTGACATTCTATAGTGCTATACTGTGTTTCTAAAAGAACACCCCTTTCTCCCTGCTTATGCTGTAGGTGGTGGCAGCTGCCTTATTACTGGGTGGGAATCAAGCTGTATGATCTGGTTGCAGGAAGTAATTGCCTGAAGAGCAGTTACGTCCTCAGCAAATCCAGAGCCCTGGAGCACTTCCCCATGCTGCAGAAGGACAAGCTGGTAGGAGCCATCGTCTACTATGATGGTATGTGACATTCCTTTCCTTTGTTCGAGATAGTTTGCTGTCCAGTGGTGACCCCGTGAGTGCATTGACCCTTAGAGTCCACTGCAGTGGAATCGGTTTGCATTCTCGCCTTTAATGTTAACTTTATGCAACAAACAAATGTACCCACAGCTATTTTTCTTTTTCAGTACTGGCTGAAAAACTACCCATGGTACTTTGCTTCTTCTTTCTGTTTAATTAATTAAAACATTTTTTATTTTTAAAGATGTTCCAGATCAGATTGCCCTGGAACTCACTGTATAGACTAGTCTGGCTTCACAGTTGTGGCAATTCTCCTGCCTCAGCCTCCAAAGTGCTGGGGTTACAGGTGTGCACTGCGGTGCCTGGCTATTTGTGTTGTATATTGTTTTCCCTCTTTGACTTCTACGCGTGTCTCATGGTTGGTTTGGCCCATTTCTCATAGCAATGGATTTCACCCCACCCTCATGCCATTCAATTTCTTCTGTGTTCGGCAGTGAATACTTGCCTTATGAATATATTATGATGTTGAAAGCAGCTGAGGATCTGTTAGATTTTCTAGATGAAACCTCTATTTTCGAGGGGTTATAAACCTAGAGAAAAATGCCCCTTGGGCTGAAAATTGACATGTTTTTGTTTTGCATAGGACACACCATTCTTGAGCGTGTAATTTATGTGTTGAGGATAGATGCATCTGTTAAATCAAACTTTTGTGTTTTTTTACGTGTTTGCCTGCTGGTGGACGTTTTCTGACCCGACTTTACCTAATGTCCATTTGCTATGTGTTCAATGTGACTTCTGTTCTGTATGCGTGTGCACAATATAATGTGTACATTTTTATTTGAGGAAACTGAACAATACATTTCCGGATAGACCACAACCAACAGCAACAATACAAACCAGTGCAATCAAAGCCATTTATTGATCTTCATTGGTCATTTTAAAGTGTGTACAGGACTAGAAATTAATGTAAGAATATTCATTTATAAGAAAACTAGCTGGACACAGGCGATGGCACATGTTGAAAGGTTTAGAAATTTTATTACACAGAGACATCTCAGACTCTGAATCTCAGTGATCCCCCCCTTCACCCGTTATGTGGTCTTTATATCTGGTGTTAGATACAGAAATTCTTAGCACAAGGGAATGTTTTTTGGTTGTGTTGCTTTAGAATATTTGATGCATATGTTTATATTATTTGATACTATATCTGCTTTTAAGCCCATCTTTCCTTTCTTCTTCTTTTATCCGCCCCCCCCCCCCCCAACCTCTTTTCGTTCCAGCGTCACTCTTCTGAATCAATTCAGCTGTCTGGCAGGCTTTCATATATAAATGCAGAATGTATATGTGCAAAAGGGGCAACAGGGATCAAACTTAAGAAAATGTCCTAGGAGCAACAATATAAGAAAAATGTTAAGGGTCTTAGACAAACATTAAGAGCTAGAAAATTATCAGTTTGTCGGGTTTTTCAGCATCTGAGACACCACAGGGGAAGGCACTTAACTACTTTTTTGGTGCCCTTGATGGAACCTCCATGTTAAAGGACAACCTTCACTGTGAATCTGCTTTCTCTGCAACAGACCCTTAACATTAATCCATTGTAGTTTATTGGGTGATTACTGTAAAGAGGCTTCTGGCCCAGGAGGAGTAGGGATTCTGTAAATAGCATCCTGTCTATACTCGTGTGGAAATGCTTGTGGGCTTGTCCTTCTCTTCTTCCTTCCACACAAACCCTTCCAAATTCATACCCATTGAAGAATATTAATGTCATATCTAATGTTTGTCTTAGTTTGACTTTATTATGAGTAAATTTTTTGCTGTGGTGAATCCAGGGAAAATTTGTGTTTTATAAAACAGAGGAAACATCCTATCAGAATTAAAGAGCAAAAGTTCCTCTAATTCAGAATAAATTTATCTTTATTCTTGGTTAGAAGCTACAGAAATAGAAGTTGAGCAAAAATTATTGAAAATTCCTTTAGAATAATTTCAAATAGATGTTTCTAAATTGTACAACCTTATGTCTTGAATGGAAGAAGTGAAATATAATTGCTTTGGCCACTTGAAATCAAATATTTTCCTTTTCACTTTGTTCTGAAATTATTCAAACTATAATATGTAATATTTAAGGTGAGACAAAGCAAAAATATAAGAGGGCAGGATTATTCATGTGCACTCACAGTGTGCTCACAGATCTTGACAATTCCTGTTTTATCCACTCTGGTGTGATGAGCAGGCTGTATCCCTGTGAAAATGAAGAGGAAAGAGACACCAAGGCAAAGGGATTCATGCACCAAACCACTTTCTCAGAAGTGGGAAAGAAAACCCTAGTTTTTGACTCAAAGCCTTTTGGAGAGAAAACAAATCGTTTTGAACCATGGCAAAGCTGTATGTATACTTTACAAACATTTTATTACTGAATACTCTCTTGTTCACAAGTAACCATCATGTGGGCTCATGCACATGGCTCATTGGCTAAGAGCACTTACTTCAGAAGCATTAAAACCTAAGATCTCTAGCATTCAAGTAAATAGCTAGGCATGGCCTTGAGTACCTGTGATCCTGGGAGGTAGGAGAGGGCACGAGCAGAAACAGGCTTGCTAGGGCTTGCCTGAATAGCCAGCCTAGCCTTCTACCCCCCACCTCCCCTAGAAAAGAACAACAAATTAAGAAAAACCTACCAAGCTCCAGGCTCTATGAGAGCCCCTGTCTCAAGGGAATAAGGTGAAGGCAACTGAGGGAGATGCTGATGTCTTCTCTGGCCTCTGCACAGATGTACATGCCACACACATGCAAAGAGAAAAATGAGGAACCATTGTGTTACAAGACCATAAGACAATCCAGTCATTTCAAAATGAATTCAGGCTTGAAGTAACTTTAAAATCCATGCTTACATTCATATACAGTTACCTATTTCAACGTAAACAGAAACAACTTGTGTAATTTTTACCTAAAGAGACTCTTGATCCTAATGAGAAGATCATGCATATTCATAAAATGAAGTTTTCAATGATGTCAGCGTTGTATTAACTATGAACTCTCATTAGTATTACATCAACAGAGTTACATCAGCCACTGTGACTATGATGCCTTGGAAACATAGTGACCTGGACCAGTCGACTTTGTTATGAAGTTGGCCTAGGGGTTAATATAACCTTTACGGTCTGTTCACGACTGAACTGTTAGAGCTTTAAGGCATACATCTAGAGGTACAAATATCAAAAGATTTTGTCCTTATTTTATCCTTTTAATTTTGAGACAGAGTCTCACTCTGTAATTTGGGCTAGTCTGGAACTCTTTCTGTAGACCAGGCTAGCCTTGATTTCACAGAGATCCACCTGTTCCTGCCCCCCTGAGGTCTTGTATTAAAGGTGTGCTCTACTCTACCTAGCTCAAAAGTTTTTAATTACTCAGAGCCATAGTTAGTCCTAAATAAATTATGATAGCTACTGCATATGATTAAATCAAAATAAATTTCTCCAAAAAAGTTCCTACAAGCAGTGGAATACATCTTTCTTGCATTTTACTTGCTTGTTTTTGTTTTCAGAGGCATGCTCTTCCTATGTGGTCCAGCATGGCCTTGACATCTTCTCCCTACTCCCTGCCTCCCCACTGCTGGCTTTGCAGGTGTGCTCCAGCACACATAGCTTCTCACACTTCCTGATGTTCTCTCATGGGCATTTTTGGGTATGGCATAAGTATGACCCACTGTGATATTTCACTGTTAACTGTTAAAAGACAAACTGATACATATGGAGGAATAACTGCTATCTTTTTAAATGTAGGCAGAGTAAATGTCAAGTTCCTCAGTTAAATCCATATGAAATGAAGGATACAAGTCACATACCAGATTTTTCCTCCAGTTACAATTTCTTATATTCTTTATCGAAACTATGTAATTCATGCCCTAGCTTTCTCTCTGAACCATAGCCCCATGTCTCCTGAAGCTCCTAATCCTTAACTGCTAGAGACCTACTAGTTAGATAATCCTGGCTACGGTGTGTGCTTTAAGGTTCCCAGAGTGGTGTCCAAGCCATTCTCTAAGAAAGCAGAAAAGGGTTGAAAGCATCTCTGCTTAGGGGCTTGGCAGTTTGTTAGATTATTTGACTGCTGCTGGGGCGTAGTCTGTTCCTGAGGAGCTTCTTTCCTCTGCTGTCAGCTTTGGTCCAGTCTTGTAGTTCCTCCCAGTGGTGGCACATCCTGGTGATCTCCCAACACGGGAGACAGAGACAGCAGGATCAGGAATTCAAGATCATATTCTGCTACGTACTCAGTTCTAGGCCAGCCTGAGTTACATAAGACCTTGCCTTCTGTGTGTGTGTGTGTGTGTGTGTGTGTGTGTGTGTGTGTTTTGAGACCAGTTCTCACTATGTAGCTCTGGCTGGCTTAGAACTCACAGAGATCTGCCTGTCTTTGACTCTGCAGTGCTGGGATTAAATGCACGTGCCACCACACCCAAGGCCATGCCTTCAAAATAAAAATACTAGTTCCCAGAGTGGATTCCTGTTGCCTTGCCACTCGAGTTGGACTTTAGTCCTCCAATCCTCTGCACAGAAAATGAGATATAACTAAAAATCATTAAATATTTAAAGTCATTAAATAACTCCATTAAACCTCTGTGAAATGGAATTGGGGAACAAAGTTATAGTTTTAAATTTTTCCTTTCTGCCAGTCGAGACACTGACCGAGAAAGATGTCTGTTCCTGTATACCTAACAATACTCATAAGTGCACCTTATGCACATATGAAAATAGCAACCCGAGGAAACTGTGTTGGCTTTCCCAGTGTAAATAAAAGGTGGTTACAGCCATGTTTCGAAGGGGGAATTAAAGCCTATCGCTGACTAGAATATTCATTTCCATTCCAGTTTCAAACTCCCAGCATACAAAGATGCATTCAGCTGGTGAGGGAGCAAAGCCAATTTAATCTCTGGCTCCCCTGAGGTAACTGTAGTTCACGGTCCTGCCCGCACTCCAACCTCAGCTATAATCCCTGGCTCCTGGAGG